ATTATTCGTAGGTGATCAGAATGAACTACCTGAAATCATGGTTCATCATCGACCTGTTGAGCTGCCTACCGTACGACGTGTTCAACGCGTTCGACCACGACGAGGACGGCATAGGAAGCCTGTTTTCAGCGTTGAAAGTGGTCCGTCTGCTCCGGCTTGGCCGGGTCGTTCGAAAACTAGACCGGTATCTGGAGTATGGAGCCGCGATGCTCATTCTACTGCTCTGTTTCTACATGTTGGTTGCTCACTGGCTGGCCTGTGTCTGGTACGTCACTTTAAGGTGATTTTACCCTGCCCACACACAAAAAGGTAACACGGCTGCGGCAGGATTGACGGCTAAATCTACCTAGGCGTCATTCACCATCGTTCTCCCTCCCTTGATTTTCAACATTTTCATGTAACTAACAATATTTTGTCGCTTTCTTAGAGTAGAGTAGAGTCGAAAGACTCTGTAATAAGAGAGGTTATAATAATAAGATTCTTTTTTTTTTTTTTAAATTAAACATAAGTCTTCTTAATAATTCTAAATAATTATTCGCAATATTGTAATAATAAGTTTAATATGTTTCTCTTTTCTAGCCTATAAGAGAAAGCGATAGAATTTTCTTGGTTACCCGATAACGTCGCAATTTCACGAGCAATAAAACACGACGTCTTAGACGGAGATACACACACTCACACATACACACACACAGGACATATGATACACACGTGCAACAAACGATACATATGCCGTGCCGCTTTCACGAAATAGCATTGCACTCTCGTTCCAATGGGAATTTTCGAATTCGAGAATGATCTGAACTGGTTGGATTGGAAGGGGAAAATTTTGTGCGAAGGAAAATTCCCGAAAGGAACTGGTTTGCCATGGCTTCTAGAATAGTTCTAGAATAGCCTGTTGAATAGATCGTTAAATTTTTAACATTAAAAGAGATATAACTTTCCTTCTTTGAAATTCTCTCTTAACTGTCATTTTGTTCTGAGAAACACTTTGCGATGCAAGAGGTAGGTTATAGAAATTTCCTCGAAAACATAATATTGAAATTTTAACATATCAAAAATATCCCTTCGAATCGAATCATAATTCAATTTTTTTTTTTTTTATTGTTTTGTTTCTCTCGCGTTATCCAGGTTAAAGAGAGAGGAGAAGATCCACCGGTCTCACGCACTTGTGAAAAAGAAAAAGAGAGAGAAAAGTACAGGACGAGAAGGCCGCAAGTCTGCTGTCTAGTTCCTTCACCCTTGCTTCTTAATTATTTTCGCTTCTTTCCCGCTCGAAGCGGCATAAACGAAGTAGCGCTTCGAATTAACGTTGCCTCGCCTTTAAAGAGAAAAAGGAAAAAGAGGGAGCGAGTGCAAGGGAGAGATAAAAGAAGAGAAAGGAAGAAAGTGGAAGAGAAGTTTAAAAAAAAAAAAAGTCTTCTTCTTCTTCTGATGATGATGATGATGATGTTAACGTTCCGCTCGTTTCCTCGACAAAGAGGCTCCGTATCCCTTGAACGTTCCCTTCGACGATGTTGAAAAACCAGGAAACGCAACGCGAGCCTTTTATCTTCCGTTGGCCAAACCGTTTCTCCCCAAAGGAGAGTGTTCGACCGTAGCCCTTCTTTCTTCCCAGCTGTGCTTTCGTTTCGTAGTAGTAGCCAATCAAAAAGAAAAAAAAAAAAAAGAAAGAAAAGAAAATTATACGAAGCAAAAGAGTAGAATCGTTTGGAAAAAGGGGCAACGGTCGAAGTGAGAATGGAAAATGAAGAAACTGCTTGTGAACACAATTATATACGGTTAGCGAATAGAAAAAGCATGCGTGCTTCTCTCACGCATCTCCGAATTAATCCTTGGCCCGCCTCTCATTTGTCGAATTTATAGTACGTCTTAGAAATTGTAAACAATTTAGCATACCAAGGTGGGGTTAAAATAAAACTTGGTTAAAAAATTTTAAGTGCAATTCTTCTTTTCGTTATGAAAAAAAAAAAAATTATAATTACTTGAAATTAAATTAAATGCCTGGTATAAATATCATGTCACCTTGGTAGAGGCTAAAGGTCGAGTGTCGCAAAGAATGTAAGAAGCGTCGTTGCGTTAAAGGTACTCGATAGGAAGGTCGGACGCCGATAACGGAGTCCAGTATTCTTGGCTGTGGAAGCTGGCGAACGTCACCCAGTCCCCGTACAGTTACCTGTGGACCAATACCAGCACCGCGCCTGAATTAGTCGCTGGCCCGTCCAGGAGAACCATGTACGTCACCGCATTATACTTCACGATGACTTGCATGACCTCGGTGGGATTCGGTAACGTCGCCGCCGAAACCGACAACGAGAAGATTTTTACCATCTGCATGATGATCATTGCCGGTATGGATACGGATTCTTCTTTTTTCATTTTTTTTTCTTTTTTTTTCTCTCTCTTTTCCTTTTCTTCTCAATATTAGAAAAGTGATTGGTGTTCTGCAATGGATCATCAAGTTTTCATGAATTGTAAACACAGGTTTGATCCTTTGTCCGCAGCTCTGTTGTACGCCACCATCTTTGGTCATGTGACTACGATAATCCAACAGATGACATCCGCAACGGCCAAGTATCACGATATGTTGAACAACGTGAGGGAATTCATGAAGCTGCACGAGGTGCCGAAAGCTCTTAGCGAACGCGTGATGGATTATGTGGTGAGCACTTGGGCGATGACCAAGGGCCTAGACACTGACAAGGTACTCAACTACTGCCCTAAAGATATGAAGGCGGACATCTGTGTCCACCTGAACAGGAAGGTTTTCAACGAGCACCCTGCGTTCAGGCAAGCCTAGTTTGTCTTGTTAAATATTATTAGAAGTGTAATTAAAAATGAAAGCTTGAACGTCTTGATGCTACGAATAAATTGTAATTTTATTATTTATTAATTATTAATTCTAGATTGGCCTCTGACGGTTGCCTTCGCGCCCTGGCGATGCATTTCACGATGTCCCATAGCGCACCAGGTGATCTGTTGTATCATACGGGCGAGTCGATCGATTCGTTGTGTTTCATCGTGACTGGAAGCCTCGAGGTAATCCAGGACGACGAAGTGGTCGCCATTCTCGGTAAGGGTGACGTGTTCGGGGACAGCTTCTGGACAAACCCGTCCGTGGGACAGAGCGCTGCCAATGTTCGAGCTCTGACTTATTGCGATCTTCACACGATCAAGAGAGATCGATTGTTGGAGGTGTTGGATTTTTACCAGGCCTTCGCCAACTCGTTTGCTAGGAACCTCGTTCTGACTTACAATCTTAGTCATCGGGTAAGTGTTTTCTTATCTTTTCTATTTTTTTTTTTTATTTCTCGTTTGTTTTTTTATAATCGTCAAACTTAATTAAGCGACATGGGAAGGAGAAACTATGTGTATTGTTATTTTATTATTTTTTATCTTTCTCGAGATTAGATTAGGATTGCAGGAAATCGGGATGCATATTAAAAAAAAAATCGGTAAAATATGACAGGCATGTAACAAAATATTAAAAAAAGAATCAACAAATTTCAAGATTCCAATTCTTTATTGAACTTTTGTAATATTATATTGAACAGTGCAATGTAAATTCTTTGGCTTCTTTCTTCCGACAATAGAGTGAACAGTGACCACTGTCGGTCATGTATGAATAACACATATACAGTCTTATGTATATATATATATATATGTATATATATATAATAAATATGTATTGTACAAATTTCTTCTCATCGATAAACTTTCTTTAATGTATTAAGAGGTCCAATTAAAAATGATTTATGATTCACCAGGCACTAGATAATAGGCATTCAAAAAACAGCAACTCGATATATTTTTTTCCTCTTTTCTTTTTTTTATTTTTTATTTTTTTTAAGTGTTATATCACTCTATCGATCGCAGAGTTGATTAAAAATGATTAATAATATTAGAAATCAGGCCGTTACAGAGATCTAGAATTTTATTCTTCGACAAATTAATTAGCGAACAGAAAAAAAACAAGCTTCTTTTATCATTATATATCCGTTAAAACGTTCACAAAAACTATGATATCATCTTTTTTCTTTTTTCTATTTTATCATTGAGTTACAAATATTGTGTTACAATGATTTTCTTTTGTTTCTAAAAAGCTGATAGAGATTTAAGTAGCCTGATATGCTTTTTTTTCCTTCTTCTTTTTTTCATTCTGTGTAAAGTCTCTGGTATCACAATTACTCTTTTTCCTCTCGTAATCCTTCGCTGTACATTTTGCGGCCAGCCATTTCCAATATAACCTTCGAAGAAGAATCTTGGTCCAAAACTGATTTCGAATCGCGTCCTTCTTCTTCTATTTCTGGAATAGGACCTACTCCCCACACTTCACAATGTTTGATCTTAAAATCCTCCTTGCCACTTAATTGAATATAATTCTGAAAAGTTGTACAGGATACGCTCGATTTTCCAGTTCCGTATTCGCAATCTAACCACAAGCCTGGATAATTCAATTGGCCTCCCATAAGCAAACCATTAGGCATAGTTTGTTGATGAAGATTTAAATACTGATAATGATTATTGTAACCAGTGGAAGAAAATGTAAGTATATCTGGTTCAAGTTTAATAAAAAGGAAGATTCGTTTCCTATAAAATTTGGCCCAGTTGCCCAACTATTCGAAGCAAAACCACCAAATACATGATCATCCGTGTCTTGAAGTATTATAATAGTGGAACCTTGCATGGTTATTCTTCCAAGCATAGTAGAAAATGATTCCCCGTGCACTTGACTGGAAAATAGGAATCTCCATTCGTTGCGAAGTTCATGAGGCAAACTCAAGTTCAAAAACAAAACATCACCCAATCCTAGAATACTAGGAAAGTGTGGTATATTTTCCAAACCCTTGCAACCTGGCAAAAGATTCAAATCGTTTATTTTACCACTGGTATTTTTGTCTCCTTTCTTCTGAGAAATGAGGAAAAGGCATTGAAAAACATGCGATTGGATAGTTTTGAAAGTAGCTGCTGTGGAAAACCAATTCTCCACTTGTTCGGTAGACAAAGTATCTCCATATTTGACTAGATCTTCACATAAACTTCTAGATCTCATTCCTATCCTTCTAGTGTTCACTGTACACCCAATACTACTCCATGTTAAATAGTGTGAATTGCCAGAATTTTTTTGTAATCTCAAGTAGGAATTTATAGTAGCTTGAACATATTGAAGGAATGTAGTAGTAGGTATTTCATGTTTCTGTTCCTCTTCTGAGAAACCGTTAAAAATTAAGTTAGTTCTCTCCTCTGGACTTCCACGAACAGCAAACACATAGAGTCTACCAAAATTCTCTCCGTTAATAGCAGAAACTCTTTTCCCTGGTTCATGACAGAGAAACTTTACTACAAATTGCAATAGTGTATCATCCAAATGGGTGGACCAATGTTTAAATATATCTTCACGTTTTATGGAACCTGAACTTCTAGACATCGACTTGAAAAGATTCTCCACCAAGGTTAGTTCGTCCGCTGATAGAATGTTTGCGGATGAAGCGGAACGGCTTGAACCATGACCCATCTGAAATAGGCAGATCTTTATCGAATTCGTTTCATAAAACTATCACAAGTCAATTATTAAAAGGCATTTTTATATAAACATATGACTAACAAATCGATCTACTTGACGATTGATTTTACAATAAACTGTTCGATTTTACAATAAACTTATATCGAATTCGTAAGAAACATAACAAAAAAATTATCCACCTTTCAAACGCGAGAAATACTTTCCACAGCAATCCATATACCTCTGTTTTCTCAACGAAAATTTGGATTCGACACGAATCACAGTAATATAAGTACGCAATATTGCGTACTTTTTTTAGAATTCTTAATCAATCATGTGAAACGAATTATCGAAACGGAAATAATCAAAGAACGATTTCTAACTTTCAAATCGACACAATAAATAAAATATTTTGAGGTTAATCGTGAATACAAGTAACCTCCTATTTCCTAGAGCGCCTATCGACTACTCTGGAAGCGCATGCGTACTTATCGAACAAAAACCATCTCCCACCCTTAACCTACAACTCTGTATCCAGAAAAAAGGAAATATAGTGGAGAAGCGATGCTTTTCCAGCATCGAAAACTAAATTATCGAAAAGATTAAATTATCCGAGTTATCTACATTCTGTTCTACTGAAAGAATATTAAAACATAGAGTTATGTTACATGTTGAAATTACTAATCATTTCGTTTTTTAATAGAATTAAGGAATGAAGGTTTTCTTCTATTCCCGGATTCGTTAATGGTATTGAAAAATATATTTGAGAATTATTTTAATGGTTTTACCTATGATGTAAACGCATAAGGATGATTATTAAGTCGACGATCAATCGAATAATCAGTACATAATAAAGGATATAAAAAAGCCAATAAAAAGTCCAACGTATTTAAAAGATTATTATTAATAACAAAGGAACGATTAATAAGAAGCACAAATAATTTTCTGTCGTTCAATCTGCGATGTGCCGTTCATTCTGAACAATTATTCGAAGCGCACTTCACAACGAAATTCCATATTATTCCATACAAATATCGAAGAAAATGCAAAAGAATGCATGAAATAATTAATATAATTAATATGTGTAAAAAGGCGTGTAAAATCGAATCGAATCGTTTTGTGCAGCTAATTTTTCGGAAAGTGGCCGATGTCCGTCGGGAAAAGGAACTTGCCGAGAGAAGAAAGAACGAGCCACAATTGGATCAAGCGCAGGATCATCTGGTGCGAAAAATTTTTTCGAGGTAGGGACAGATTTGTTACCCGTCGAACTGGAATGAATATCTTTGAAACGTCTCTCTCAATGATCTTTCATTTTTCCATAAAAAATATCGAATTTTATTATATTATGTAAGTAGTAAAAATATATTGCGACTTTTTTTTATTGAATGAAGATACATTGAGAGAGATAAAAAAATTTAGAATTAATTACGATGGATGCGTATTCAGTTGTAAATAAATAAAAATAACTTTGATTATTATTTACTTAACTTAAACGGATTTTAAATGAAAATGAAGCCTGTTTGTACCCTTTCAGAATAAATTTTAAAGGCATTTATTTACGAGCGAATATGTATCCTCATGATAAATAATGAATCGTATAGTCTCGATTCTTCTGTGTGACCACGTGGAAAGCCGTGCAGAGTGGACATCTGGTCTGTATTCGCAAATTCAATGGGCGAATATATATGAATATATATATATATATATATTACATATATATATTTTATCACAATTTCGTTAAGAATGAGAGAACGAGGAGTGAGAATGAGCTTGTATTATGAACGTATCTCGAATGAATGTATAAATTTTCTTTTTTTGTACGTGTGCATTTTTTTCAGTTTAAATTTTTTTTCACCGACAATTGAACAAAGAATAAAATAATAAATATAATAAGAAGAAAGATTAAAAAAGAACAAAAAAATAAATGAAATACATACGTACAACGATGTAACAAATATTCATGCATTAATTATAAGTTACTGAATTCACGAGTAACATTACGAAACAAAAGCACAAGTATGAAAGTGTGCGAGAGAGAGGGAGAGAAAGGAAAGAGAGAAATTATTTACGACACACAGGAAAAAGTGTTAAAAAAAAAAGAAAAAAAAAAAAAGCAAATAAGAAAAAAAAAAGTAAAATTAGAAATTTTCGTATCGTATGTACTGGTAAATTGTTGTTGATTGTTGATCGTTGCTTGGCTGGCCTGTTGTCCGTAAAGGTTCAAGACCGACGGGGATGCCCAGATCGTTGGCGTGAGCAGGGCCGCGAATGGACGGTCCCAGGATTCCGACGAGGAGCTCACCGTGAACGTCCTGCCGCCCTGGCCCAGTTTTAGGCAATTTCATTTCTTACGTATTTATTTATCTTTCTTCATTCTTTTTTATTGCCATCTTTGCTACTTTTTACGCGTATACACTCTTATATTATTCATTACTCTATATAATTATTAATTAACTCGATTAATTATTCTTCTCATTATGATTATATTAACCATCGTTAATTATATCGTTATACTTTTATATTTTTATTACTGTTCTCAATTGTGATTTTTCTCTAGATAGGCATATAAATATATACATATATCACTTTTATGTACATACATGTACATTTTGTAGAAATTTTCACATATGATTATTAGAATCATATTATATACGATATATTATATATACCATGGTATAGGTATGTGTATATTTATGTATATACGTATATATTTATTACGGGTCGATTTTGTACAGGTATACCAGCCTAAAATTGCTTATAACACGGACGAATAATTGTTGAGAGAGCGTGAACATTTTTTATCGAGAGATTTATCGTGATTCGAGGAAAATAGTACTTTTTTTTTTAGATCGACTTCGAGACGAGTGGCTTTCGACAACGATGGACCGTGGCTGAATTTTTATTCCACTCATGTATCGTAAAATCAAAAGAACATCTCGGATAAAATCGAATTGAACGAAAAAAAAAAAAATAGCGACCCGCGAGATCGTTTTTTCTTCTTATTCTTCTACTTCTACTTCTTTTTTTCTTCTTCTTCCTCCTCTACTATTACTACTACTATTACTACTACTACTACTACTACTACTACTACTACTTCCTCTTATTCTTCTTCTTCTAGTCGTGTCGTATACCGATCTTGCAACTCGCGCATCTCCTCCGGGAGCAACCGATACGCATTTCTCGAGAAAAAGATTTCGAAGGGTATTACGGATGTGCAATCGCTGTACACACGCTTGAAAGAGAAACTAATATGTATTCTCACTCAGCACGTCTACGAAATAACCTGGGTAAATCGAATTCTCGATTCACACGCGATACATTTTTTTCTCCTTTCATGTTTTCCATTTAATGGTTTTCCCGAATTTTGACTGTTTGACTTCCGTATTTATTTTCAAAGTTGTATTTCGTAACTAAAAAAAAAAAAAAGAAAAATATAATTAAATTGATTCGTTCGTTGAAGTTGACCTCTCGTGAGATTTTATTTTATTTTATTTCATTCTATTTCAATATCGTATTCAAAATAGAAAATACTTTTTAAAATCCCTTTATTAATTTATTCTTTTTTAATGATAAAACTTGAATCTTTAAAAAAATCTTTGGAATTAAATAGTTAAAATTAAAAAATTAATCAAAATTACTTTCTTTTTTTTTTCCTCCGTCATTTTTAATCATATTTAATCGTCCGTTAATTTTCTATAATGAAAAATTAAAATTCAAAATCGATTTGCCCAGGAACGTCGCATCGTTTCCAGATACGTACACATCACCCGGTGCCATTATACAATCTTTGTCATTTTTGACGATCACTGCAGTTCTGACGAATGCTAGAGTGCTGTAAGATATACGGCTTTAGAGGGTTATGCGCATCTTTCTCCCACCATAAATATATATATATATGTATAATATATATATATATATATACTATATACATATGTACGAATATATTCTTAGTGGAACCAAGATTTGTATAGAGCGAACTCGAGGACTCTGTATTTCTTTCATCAATCTCTTAACCATTTCCTTAATTTGAGAACAAACGTGTTGTTTTATTTTCTCTTATATAAAATAACACGTTTCCCTAAAACTTATAGAAATAATATATAATGAATATTTGTAAGAAGTGAATTTATTATAATATTTATATATTAATTATGTTTAATTCATAAAAAACAAATATCTTTTTCAAATCTTTATGAAAGGAATATGAAAGTCCTCAATCGTGCGTCGAGCATCCGATACTTTTACGATTTTATGCAACGCCGAATGCATGTGACGTACACACTCTAGGATTCAAATTTCTCTTTGTCACCTGTACTCTTATATGTATATATCTACATATTTTTACATATATGTATATATATACATATATACAACGATGCCAAGTAGCTGCTTGAAAAACTACCAGACTGCCAACGATTTCTAACAATTCGAATTCATTATTTTTTTAATCAACCTCTTTTAGAAGCCTCGGCCGCGGCATGTTGCGTGCATGATAGACTCATAGAGTACTTTTATAATAATAATTGATACGATTTTAAACTTACGAAGAAATTATACGAACAATATAGAATATGCTCGGTCCACATTGTTCCGTTTCTTTTATTTTTTCTGTTCCTTCTCTTTCGTCATCGACTCAATCGGGTCGGTCGAGTCGATCAGTGGCATTCCCACAGTTGATCAGGCAGCTCGTTATCATTACAACTGTATCATCGAATAATTGCGTCGATGAACCACGATTGGGGCCGACCAGAATCTCGTTACGCGTTATTTGGTCACTTATCCTCCTTGATACACTCATCGAAAGGTGATGTAACAATTTTGATCCATTTATTACGATCATTCAAGAAACTATCCAAAATTTGCGGATAATGTTACAAAAATACTTTATAATTAGTAAGACACAAATTACGTTTCAGCATAAATTCGCCATCTTTGGTATTATTCTGATCCGATCTTACCCGAATTATTCCGATCGACCCGAATTCTTCCGATCCATCCGAACTTTTCCGATTCGTTCCGAAGTCTCAAGTGATTCTCAACTGGGCGCGCGTCGATAGAAAAAGCTGTTTAAAAATTTTAATATCCATAATTTTTTCTTATTTTAATTCGCGATTACTCCGGATGTACAATCCTATTTCCCAGAGACAATGTAACGTGAAAGGATACGCGTGCCGGATACTGCTTACCTATTTACTTCGATTTGTTATTCTCAGCTTGTATCCCATCGGGATGCGACAGTGCATAACCGATAATTTAAACTTTGATGCTCCCAATGGACAGACAGTATAATTATGATTCGAACAGAGTTTCTAAGTCGGCCAGTTCAACTTGAAAAGTACCGCGATTACGTGCTCTGATTTTTCATCGAAGAATACTACAAGAAAAGTCTTGTAGCTCGAATAAAAATGGCAGTCATATCTTACACGATAAGAAATCAAACTTTTGTCAACGAACACGACAAACTTTGTCATTACGAGATCATGTTTGTCTTCCGTATCTTCGTTATAATTCGCGCATATCTTTTCTGCTATTCTCTTTCTATCTTCTATCTGTTTTTCTTTCTATCTCTATTCTCTATTTTTCTCTCTCTTTTCATTTTTCTTTCTTTATTTCAATTTTTTTCTTTTTCCTTTTTTTATAAAATTCCAGGCCACAATTGGTTCATCGACGTCGCCAGGTTTTCCTGTATGTTTTACCGGCATCTTATCACCATTAAGAATATTTTTTTTCGAATCCCGTAGGCACATCAAAGTAGGTTGCTCGTGAACACCGCTGGAGCTGTCTCCCTTTTTCTGGCCTCTGTAGAACGAATTTGACTCACTGAAAACATGACCATTACGTTAAAACAAAGAAAAAAAAAAACTTAATGATTGCTTGACCCTATATGTATAAAATATCAAACTTATATGTCTTTATATAAAATATATATAAATACTTGTACATATAAATTTATATATATTTTGTATACTCTTACCAAAAAAAAAAAAAAAGAAGAATAGAAATAAATGACGCAGAATGGCGATCACATTCGCCTCATCAAATATGATCGTGGGTCACAAAAGTTTCATGGTATCCCAAACTCTTTAAAAAAAAAAAAGAAAAAAAAGAATATTTGTACAATATTATTCTCCCACCTCATATATAATTTTTGTATACACCATGTATTCTTATTATTCCTCCCTTTATTTAATTAATTGCCTAGTGAAACTGGCCTTTTAACCCCAGTAATGTAAATAGACGAAAACGTGTCATGTCGACGGGACTAAACACGGGCGTTCTCGCTCTCTACTTTTTTCTATTCAGGTTCCGCAGGGAGAGACACACTGCCGACGTGGAGAAGGGTGATGGAAAAGATGGAAAGGAGGGGAAAGAAGGCGAGTCCTCGCATAGCAGAAAGGTTTCCATCGCGGATGACAACACCGTGGTCAAGGGGGGGCGAGCTGGAAAATGGGGACGACTTTTAGGTAGTAACAAAATTAAATTTCCTTTTTTTTTTTTATTAAATTTATCGAATCGTGAAATAAACAAAATAACCCACTTCTTTTCTTGTAGGAAGCTCTAGCTTGGACTCTGGAAGCGAGACAGGAACTGGGGTGGATACGTTCAAACGTTCTTTAAGCGCGAGAGACGCCCGTCCCAGCTCTAGTGCAGGCAGCAATAAAGTGTTTCCCAAGTTTGGCAAGTTGAGCGGCACCATCGAGGAAACGGGAGACGCGGAAGGTGCGAAAGAGGGACAACAACAGCAACAAAATGTCGCGGACTCGAAACAACTTCAGCTCCGTCGATTGGAAAGTTACGATGACGGATTGATCACGACCCAACCGAGTCACGATCGCGAAATTCTAGCCGCTGTTCTCGAGGTGAAAGTGGATCTAAAGCTGGAGGTGCAACGAGTGAACCAGAGGCTGGCAAAAATCGAGGATATGCTTCAAACGTTGATGAACAGGTTGCCCGCGGCCAGCCCACAGCAGCAGAAGAGCACCAATAATTTTTCGACGGGTGGGAACGGTGGTTCCTCGCAGAACCAATCAGGAGGCCAGCCACAGGGAGGAGGAGGAGGGGCAGGTGGTTCGAGCTGCCAACAAGGCTCGCAAGCCACTCAAACGTCGGGAGGGATTGGGGGGGAGCAGAAGGTTTCTACGTCCACTTCGACGAGCGGAGGTGAAGTTTACAGGGAGCAGGGGACAACGACTGAAAGAATGTCCAAGTCCCAGGAGCACCATCATCATCATCATCATCATCATCAATCGCAGTCGGACAGGCTGAAGGACAGTGATTACAAGACTTCCTCGAGGGAAGTGAGCAAGGAATTATTGGAAAGACTGGCACAGGCGACTACTTCGAGAGGGGACGACGGTACACCTCTTGGACCTTTGATATTGAGGAAACGAAGAAGCAAATCGAGAAACAAGGGAGCTGCACCGTTGGCACCGTTAGCCAGTCAACCGATCAGCCCTTCGGAAGCGACAGAGACGACGCAGATGCTCGAGTGCACCGACGATAGGGAACAGAGCGCCACAACGACAGATAGAAGCGATAGGTCCGACAGAAAGAGGCCCCCGCCCAGGCCCAGAGAGTACTTGTGAAAGTTCTTAAGGTTCCGGGCGGTCGTCTCGAGACTGATCTTCTTCTAGCGAGAATCGCAGGAAGGAATTGCCGTTTTCATGGAATATTTTCATTTTAAAGATTAGAATTATACGGAATTATAATAGGATACGATTTTGACAGGGTTTTGCACGGTTCGATAAGATTGTTGTTGTTCTATTTGAACAACGATGAAGAAGGAAGTAGTTGTGTAGCTTTTGAAATGATAACGCGATAGTCGCGTGTTTTTTTTTTTTTAGAAAATGGAATGCGATTTGTTGGAAGTAAAGTAATCAAGAATTGTAGAATTTGTGATTGTTCGAAAAATGAGAGAAGTTTGGACAAGTGATTGAGACAAGGAGAATGACTATTTTAGCGAACTCTCTTTAATAAAACGAGACGAGTGTACCGGTAAAAGCATAATTTATCTGTAAAATTTCACCGTGTACATTTTAAAAACATGCTGCATTATCGCTACTCGCTTCGCGTCTGGTCTTTAGCGAGCATTCGTCGGTACACGCGAAGGATGAGCCTGATTCTGAGAGAAAAAAGTGAAAATTTGATTGAAACAGAATAGAAAAAATAAGAAAGAAAAAAAAAGAAAACGAAGATAATGTAAGGAAAAAAGCGTGCCGACGAAAACGGTCCCGCTACTATATACAAAATTTTGGCATATTTTTGCATGGCCAAAAACAAGCGATTAAAAAATAAAAAAAGTATCAAAGAAAAAAGAAAAACACAAAAAAGTATATCGAATTATATACTGCTTGCGACGGCTTCTTCGAAACATCGAAACGTTATAAACGGGAGAATGAAAAATTAACATTCAAAATACTCACGTTGTAACATGTAAGGTTAACCACACACTGTAATCGTAGGTTTACACGCATCTTTAGGGGATCTCAGCTAGATTTGTGATTGAGCGCGATAGATTTTAAGTAACATTAACAACCAACAACAACAACAACAACAACAACAAAAGAAAACAAGAAATAAACGAAAGGAAAAAAGTGTGTGAAGATGAATGATAAAAAAAAATAATTTGGAAAGGAAATAACAGGAGGAGCGACGGAGAAAGTGAAAATGAGGTTAGGTAAAAACTAAAAATTAATTCTCGATCAATTTTCGATTCGTTCTATCGAAAAAAATAATTTTTTGATAAACGTTCCAATTCTCTAACAAACAACGATTTCAGCGAAATTCTATGATTGCCCGAAACGTGTTGAATTTGTCGGTTAAGCAGTAAATGTAAAAAAGTTTTGAAAAATCGATCGATGATATAGAAAGGGAATCGCAAGGCAATTATCGCGTTTTAATTTTTTAATTTTTACACAGTCGAACTCCGTGATTCGAAATAAAAATATATTTTATCATTGCTTCGCTATCGCTACATCATGTTCTTCCTTTTTTCATAATTTTTTTTATTATTTTTTTTTTTATTCCATTCGATAACTTCGCAAAAAAGGAATTGGCGAGCGCGTAAACGTTGATCGATGGTTTTTTTTTTTTTTCAATAGTTCCGTCTTATTGTAAATCATGTATGCTTGTGTATATTTATGAGCGCGTGTGTATTGTATGTGGGTGTGCATACGTGACCACAATCGGTTACGAGTATGTAAATTTTTGAGAAAATTTGTTGCAGTGAATCTTAGGAGAACTATTATCGACTTTTATCGATTATTATTGACTTCTATACTGGCTGTGCTTGCTTAAGTTTAACTTGATTAAGTTTTAAATTAAATTATTTTTATTTTTAGACTGTTAATTGACTTTCCTTTTTTTTTTATATTATTTGTAAGAGATATAAAATTGATCTATCGTATTTTATTTTTCCTTTTTTCTTCTTTTTGTATAGATTTATTTAAAAATTGTTATCAAAAGTGCTCCTATAGGTCTACACCCTCGTGTCACATTTTGTAAGTTTCCCTTCAGAAAGTATTCTCATTACTCTTTTGAGAAGATCTCGTTTGTAAAACGATTCGTGGACCATCATCCTCTTAAACGTCTTGAAGAAAATATTATCGTGTTATTCAAAGATAAAGCTGTATGTAATGAAGAAGAATTCAAAGTATATCGAAAAAAAAAAAACAAAAAAGAAAAGAAAAGAAAAGGAAAAAGTTCTCGTAGGTGCCTAGAAGCTACCGCCAAAAAAATCATCCTTATTTTTTTAAGCCTATTGAACGTTATTGTTCCTCCTCGTTGCCTCAGCTTTATCATTCGATGCGTTAAAAAAAAAAAAAAAGAAAGAAAAAATGGAAAGAGGAAGAAATAAATAAATAAGATAAAATCCAAAACAAAGACGTTTCATTTGATAATGGTTCTCGAAATAATTCCGAGACGCGACGTGATAAACAATTATAAATTGTTTAAAAGTCAATTCGGCCACGCCTCGAATGGCTGCATTCTTGTGCGACAAATACACGACAAATATTAAATATTAAAAAAAAAAAAATTAAGAAAAGAAAGCGAAAGAAAATATAAGAATAAATAAGTAAAAAAAAAAAAATTAACTGCTCGTATTTTGACCGAATTCGAAGTATGCAGCTTTTGTGACTATGATGAAGACGTGTCTGAAACCATTTATGAAAATTTAAAGATTCCGTACAATTTGTTACATTGCAGAACATGACCTAATCCCGCGTTCACATGGCATTCACGAAAGCCAACAGCAATATTAGGTGTATATATATATATATACTTGTAACTACGACGCGTGTATATATATTCGTACATACATACATACATACATACATACATACATATATATATATATAATAAAAAATATATATATAGCAAGCAAGGATGAAAAGTGACGCGTGATTCGTGTCAACGCGTTTGCAACGAGAAAAAAGAGAGAGAAAGAGAAAAAAAAATAAAAATAGAAAAAGAATTAGCATACTATTTATGTTTCGTTTCGGTTTAATTCTTTCTCGATTTTTCGGCGCAGCGTTCCATTTCGAACAAAATTTCCACTCGAGCGAACAACAACATTCACATCCATACATATACACGCATACATAAATGGACAAACGGATCGACAGAAGTTATATCCGTGGTCACACGGCGAAACCTGATATCTTCGCTTTCTTCATATTGAAATTGAGACATATATGCTTTTTCTCGTGTTATTATTTTGCAAAATAATATGATATCTCTTTATCATCTGTGGTTTAAAAAAAGAGAGAAAGAACAAGGACAGATTGTATTTTTTTTTTTTAAACATAAAAACTTTTCACAATCGTACTGTAAAAATTAAAAAAGAAGATATAATAGATTTTACAGTTTGATCACAGATATAAAATACATATATATGTGTTGTATTTCTGTTGCTGTCGCCTCGAGAAAGAACTACGAATAAAACACACAATTTATGAAGGACAATCAAAGATGGAAAGTACTGATCTCACGAATAGAAAAAAATCGCGATTAATTGAATAAGCCTCTGAATAAATATATATATATATATATATGTATATATATATATATATTTCGTTAGCTTAAGCCGACATATCTAGACGAACTGATGCGAGAAGAGCTTTTAATATTATTAATAATATCATTTATCCAAGCCGCGATTCCCCTCATGTACGTTAAACATGAAACGGAATCTCGACGATCCAGAGTAAACACGGCAGATTTAGGTGAAACGCGTTTACTTTTCTTTACTTCTATCGATTCGTAACAAAAAAAAAAAAAATTACTTATAATTTTGCAAATTAAATCAAATAAAAAAATCGCTTTTTAATTGAAATAAATAAATAATATTCGATTCGCGCGATGCAATATTTAAATTCGAGGGATTAATAGAGGGACGAACACGGATTAAACGGAACTACGGATCGTCGAGACCGAGCTGATATCCTTCAACTGATCCGCGACGATTCGAAATGAAAATAAATGAAAGAAAAAAAAAAAAAAAAAACGAAGGGAACATGGGCAAACGCGCTGACGGGAATATTTATGCGTGTAAATAAATACTATACATATTAAATAGGGCTGACTAAAAAAAAAAAAAAATAGAAAGAGAGTATGCAAGAGTACGTCTGTGTGTTTGTGTATGCATGGAGAGTGAAAAGGCGAAAAGAGAGCGTACAAGAAAGATGCAGAAATAGTTTTAATTTCACGATGTTATCGAGAAGAAAGCAAAATATATGTAGAAAAAAAAAAAAAAAAATAATCGAAATTATCGAAGAGTTACGAGAGGACATTGTTAATTAGGTTTTAGCGGCGGTGACGATATAGCTGGCTCTATCGTAGTTTCTATACACTTTAAAACGAATGTGAAAGTTTAACATGCTGTTGAAACGTTTGCGACAGGTGACGCGCGTCGATCGAAGATTATCGTCGGGAACGATGCGTTTTGCTTCTTTTTAACGTTGTTTGTCCGGTCGATCGACCCGCGATTCCGAGCCATACTCGTTATACTTGTTGTATTCGGGACAATTGACCTCGGAAAAAAAGAAGAAAAACTTTATTTTTTCGTTTTCCTAAAAAAAAAAAAAAAAAAAAAATAAATATATATATATTAATCAGAAATTCGAATATTCTAATATCGAATATTGGAATCGTGGAAAGATTTGCTTGCTCTTGTTGCACTTACCGGAAGCTCGTTTTTCTCGCGCACGTGTCCTCGTGAAACGTCTCCATTGGTGACTATAAGTCGATCACCAAAGATTCGGTAAACCGTTGCATCGAAAATATCGAAGACTGACAACATTCAACCTCCTCGAAAAACCATATCGGTTTCATTACATTCCCCGATTTACATTCCATTTTCCGTAAAACGGTATTCCGTGAGAAACATTCCAGGAGAGCATTCGCAACAAATCAAGTTTTGAAACGACGAAACTCGAACGAAATTGATAACGTCGTGAAACATCGAGATGGACGAATCGACTTATCGGTCCGCCATATTGGAGTCGTTGGATCAGCGTGGATCGATCCGCGTCTCTAGCAATCGCGACAACGCTTTTCTCCAATACGTTTGTTTCCAATGCACGCACGAGTGTCTCGATCGATTTATCTATCGATAGATAATCGAAGAGAATCGAAAATGGCGGAGATAAAGAAACGCGATTGATGTCGTGTCAAAACGCCGACAAAGCGGGTCATTGTCGGATGTGATGCCGCGAGAACGGACAACGCGACAAAAGAAGATGATAAACATGTGATATTACGATTTTTTATATATCAGCTACTTTGCAATAACGGATTATCGCCGTGCTCGAGTAGAGAGCGTCGCGACACGGGTCGTTGTCGTCGTCGTCGTCGTCGTCGACTTTCATTCGTCAACGACGCGTTTACGCACTCGTAACGTTACCGCGTCTTTATTTCTTTGTGAAACTTTCGCTCCTTCGTTTCGTGAAAAAAAACTTTAAATGGATTTTTCCAATTTCCGAAAGAAACGAAACAAGCGGAAGCCAATTTTGCTCTGAAATTAATCTCTTAATCTTTTTTTCTAAAATTAAAATTAAAAAAAAAAAAAACGACAAGCGAGAATACTTCTTTTTTGTTGAAAAACAAAGATAAAAAAAGAAAAAGAAAGAAAAATTACGACGACGACTATGATCGTAGCGACGATCAAAGAAGCCGTGATCGAAATTTTTGTGAAAATGATTAAGAGAGTCTATATAATAGCTATCCGGCGAAAAACAAAGAAATAAAGAAAAATATATATATATATATATTATTATGATTATTAATATGATCATTATTATGATTATTATTAGAACAAAAGAAAGATGAGGGGGGTAAAAACATTTTTGCTATAACACTTCGTCCATTTTTCTATATGGGCAATTCGTTGCACTGTAATCAAGTCCTCGGCCTTGTAAATTCTGTCCTTGTTATTTCCGGAAATTACTCTTTGATGATCGAACGCCACAAAGAATCGATCAAACTTATTCTTATATTTTGAAAAAAAATTTATTTGCAAATTGATGAATTTCTATATTTTATCTTATACAATTTTAAATATAATAGAAATTAAAATAAAGAACATAACCTTTCTTGACCATTGTGGAATAAAATTTCGTTTCTTTTATAAATCAAATTTGTTTACCGTTATTTCGCGAAAAACAACGTCTGTCTTATAAGAAACAATGACAGATCGTCGCATTTAAAATCTTAAAAATTTTATTTTTCTGTTTTTTTTTTTTACTATTAGCAATTCCATTTTTTTATTTATTAAAACAATACTAAAATATCAATGATTAATATAAAAATACAATATGATACGATCGATCTTCGTGGTGATAGAGAATCGATGGCAGTCGAGCTGTTTGCCAACTCTCGTGAAAATCCGATCGTGCGATCTCGACGCGAGCCAGAACGAAATGCGACAAACGAATGGTCCTACACGAACGCTCCTCGCCGCGTTCACGTTCTTGTTGTTGTTTTCAGTTCGAGCGATCGTCGACGCTCGAAATATACGACGAGATATTTCCTTGAATTTCGATCGACAAAACCTCGAGAAGACATCGAATGAAAATTGAAAACTATACATTCGAAAAAAAAATGGCTTATGATTGTGATGATTTTTCGATTCGATCGTATCTTGCTGGAATAATCTCGAAATCTTGTATTGACGAATCCAATAAATTGTGTAAATATCGATTTTCTTGAATCAATAACTGATTCTGATCAAGATTATTTAAAGGATACTTTCTATCGATCTTTGAAACATTTTCCAAACTATAACATTATCTGTGGTCCCTATAAAATATGTAAATAACGTTTAAACAATTTATATATAGATTCTCATATATAGTAGATAACTTTTAAAGAAAAAACAGTAAATTTTATGGTTAAATGATATTCGAACGATGTCGGTGAATAATGATCGAATCGAAATGTCAACGTTGAGGTTATAATGTTAAGGTTTGAATGTCTAAGGATTTTTTCGTTTCGCGAACGAATAGAATTAAGTATTAACCATAAAGACTAATTGAAACTTCGAATCTCCCATGATCTTACGTTCACTAGTCTTCCCAATTTTATTTTGCGAAGCATGGAACGTTCGAATGGATTTGTAAAACAGCGATAGATCAAGGAGTCGAGGTTCACGAATCGGCGTCAACGACCGCTCAAAAAAAAAACCACCGAAACAAAAAATAAATAAAAAAAGAAAAACAGAAAAAATATATAAAATAAAAGATGAAAAATTGTATCGTCGAGAGATCAAATTGTAGCATCGAACGAAGCCTGGCTAGAATACTCAAAAGAAGCTGCTTTCGAACTTATAATAAAAAAAA